ATAATAATAATAATAATAATAAAAATAATAATAATAATAGTACTGAGATGTGTATAAGAGACAGGCATTACACCGTACATCTTATCATCTATAGTCTATATGATTTATGTGGTGTATATTTCAGCATTAATTGTAATAATTTTTTGAGTGCGTAGACTGTGATATTGATGACAAAAATAGTTTTTCCCTTTTAATATTTGTATTTTTTTCAATAATGTGTGAGACTGGAATACTATAACTATAGACCTATCTTAAATAAAATAAAAATGTATATTAATAATGTTATAGCTTCGTAATGCAGAATATTAAATATAAAATATATTCAGTTTACGAAGATGTGTAGTAATTTGCCAAAAAAGAAAATTTACTTAATGAAAAAGTTTGACTTAAGTGGTAATTTCATAGCTGTCGCAAGTCAACAGCCTATAGGCTATTATAGTTTTTGCTATGGAAACTGTGCTATTCTGATCATGACGTCATGTACGTTAGATATTCGCCATGTATGAAAAATATCTCTGGTTTTATTGTTGATATAGTTTTTTTTTTAATTTTCTTTTATATTTGGTTGTTCTATGTGTTTACTATATTATGCCAATGAACAATCCAGGTTTCCTGTTGTAAATACAGATGCCTTAACAGTAGCGTATAATGTTGCGCCCCACCACTATTGAGTTTTTTCGAAAATACAAAATTGTACTCAAATAGGTAAAAATACACGCATATCACGTTATCTTGACAGCCCTCATCCATTTAACTTATAAACGCATCTTTTGGCCTAGTTCGCTTGTCTCTGTTTTTTGTCTGTGCCTTTTGTTTGTGTTATGTTGATGTCTCTTCATATACTGTATTCTGTGTTATTATGAGATGGGGTTTTTTTCCTGGAACTGTGTAGATCTGTTGAAGTTAATTGAAATTTGCAGGAAACTTGGCTTGCGTTTTACCACTTAAAGGAAAGGCGCATTATAAATGAACAGTAACAGCAATAATCGAGCCCACTTCACCATCCCCACCCCCTATCTGTCATTTCACCCGATTCTACCTAATAGATCTGGTAAGTATCAGTTTTGATGACATCACCATTCATGATGCCGTCACTCTGATTAGATGACTTATGACTGGTGCTGTATAGAAGTTTATCAGCATTTTAGTTGTCACCGAAACTGATCACTTAGGTACAATTGGCTGATCATTTCAAGAATCCTAGATACCTTAACTAATCTGATGCTTTGTTGTAAATTTGAATCTGTTTGAAAACACATGATTTGACATTTTATATAACATGGGTACAGCAATCTCTACACATGCAAGAGAAATGATGCCGGAAACATTTGACACACATTGGTGGCAAAATATCAATAGCATGGTGTGAAAAGTAATAATTACTGTTGTCGTTGTATTTTTTGTTGTATGAACCGTGTATATATTACTGTTGATAATAATAAAAGGACTTATATTTTGCTATGATATAATTATACTTTGTCTGGATTTATAATGTAGATCCTATCAATGAGGGTATATATATACTGTGTCATTTCTTTCTGGACGTCTAGAGCCATAACTTCATAAGTTACGGGACACTTTTTGTCTTTTTTGTGGCAAAACATCCACTATCTTTATCATTAGTACATCAATGATAATATTACGATATAACCTACATTACAATTATACTGCATTAATATTATGTTTTGGTATTTCAGCTTTTTTCTTTATTATATTTTTTTACACTTCTTATTGATTCTAATTAAAAAAATATAGAAAGTGTTTTCGTGTAACTATAAATATTATAATTTTTATTTATATATTATTATTTGTTACCATTTTTTGCAGAAATAAAAATACAACACAAAATTCCCTCTAATGATAACTAAAAGTAAAGCACTCTCGAAGGTTCTCCAAGGCATCGGAACATTACCGATGAAACGCAGATCGATACAATTTCAATTTTCTTTAAGAAACTTTTTGTAATAATATGTAATATGAAATATAATAATAATAATAATAATGATAATAGTAATAATAATAATAATAGTAGTACTGTTATTTATGAGTCTGTACATTGGAAAACATTGTAATAATAATAATAAAAAAATAATAATAGTAATGACATTAATAATAATAACAATAATAATACCAGGGAACGGTTAATGAAATGGAATTGTTCCCTGACAATACGTATTATATAACCAATGATGGTAATAATGACGACGATGATGATGATGAAGATTGTGGTAATGATAATCATAATGAAGGTGATATTGAAAAATGTTATGATGATGATGATGATTATGATTATTACTATCATGATGATTGAAATAATGAGTATAATAATGATAATTATGATGGTGTAGTGTTTTATATTAATAATAACACTAAAGTAATATTAATACAGTAATAATAATAATAAAAATACTAGTAATAATAGTAATAATAATAGTTAATTATTATTATTACAGTATTATTATTATAATGAAGATGTTAGTATTTAAAGAATTTAATGTGCCATCGTATAACCAAGATGACTACCAAAACAACTTCAGGTTATAGGAATAAAATCATAATACAACCCCATGTTTCCCTTTGTGCATGCGTGTTGGTGAAAGAGTATGTTCGTGTGTTAGCGAATGGATGGAGTGGGTGTCCTTTGATTGTGTGATTGTTGCGTTTCAAGCAGCCAACACTTTGAAATAAAAAACAGAATACATATTTTCATTTGGGTCTTAATCTACTCTTATTCTAATATTTTTGGTTTTTTTTAATTTGTAACTTTGTTACTATATCCAAGTTTTTTAATGACAAAAAAATTACATAAGATTTTTTTTTGTAATAATTTAGATAGATCAAGTTTGTAAACATTATATTTTTTTTAAATATTTTGCTTTTTAACTTCGTTACTATCCAATACTTTTTTATGACAAAACTTGTAAAACATTATAGACATAAACAAGTTTTTAATGATAAAACTTGCAAAACATATAGATTATATCTATACAAATAAAAGGTTTTTTTCTAAATATATTTTGCATTTTTTTAAGATTATAATAATAGAACTTAAGATAATTTTTTTTTGTAATAATGATACAAATTGCAAACATTATACCTTTTTGTATTTTTTTTATAATACAAAATTTGAAAAAAAAAAGTTTTTTATTTTTTTTTGTTGATAATGATGAAACTTGTCAATCATTATCAAACAAGTTTTTTTTTTACGCCAAAAACTTGTAAAACGTTAAAAAAACAAGTTTTTAAATGATAAACTTGAAAACATATAACAAGTTTTTTTACGCCAAAAACTTGTAAAACGTTAAAACAAAAAACAAGTTTTTAAATGATAAACTTGCAAACATATAACAAGGTTTTTTACACCAAAAACTTGTAAAACGTTAAAACAAAAAACAAGTTTTTAAATGATAAACTTGCAAACATATAACAAGTCTTTTTACGCCAAAAACTTGTAAAACGTTAAAACAAAAAAACAAGTTTTTAAATGATAAACTTGCAAACATATAACAAGTTTTTTTACGCCAAAAACTTGTAAAACGTTAAAATAAAAACAAGTTTTTAAATGATGAACTTGCAAACATATAACAAGTTATAAACTTGTAAAATGCAAATATTTTGATAATAAATTTACAGATCGTATTTTTCTTCACAAGCAAAGTATGAAACGTCGGGATCCATTTCATAATCCATATCCATCTTTTCTCGTAAGATCTCTTCCTTGATTTTCCACTGAACCGCTTGGTGACGCTTCTGGTTGGCTAATTGAGCTAGGGCGCGTTCGTCTTCCTTCTTCTGAAGAACCTTGTCGGCAGAGTGTTGTTTTTGCTTCAAAGTATTGAGGGCACTGGTCTTCTTCTCATTTTCGATCTTAGCAAGCTTTTCTTTGACATCTTTGCTGTTAAATTTTGCCTGATTGGCCTTTAGAAGAAGCTGGTTCTAGAAAATGAAAAAGCGACAAATTATTAAAATGTAGAGGAAGCAACTGTTATATCTGTCTCTTATACACATCTAGATGTGTATAAGAGACAGGGTCAACACATGTGAAGCCGCAAAATGTTACTCACATACATCAAAATTGAAAAATCTTGCAAAATATCCTTGGATGGCTGATGTAACATGGGTTAAGTTTCCAAGGAATGATCGCCAAGCTATGGTGAGATGGAAAAAGTTGATACTGTAGGCGTCGCTCATTTTGGCTTTAAGTCGGTTCCGTCGAGCCTCGCGTTGGTCGGCTACCTTTTTCTGCATTATTTCAGATCGACGAGCGGCTAGTTGTTGTTTTCGTCGACCAAGGAACTCCTAAAAGCGAAAGATTAGATCAGAAGTAGCAACATTTTAGCACCACTTTGAATCGATCACTCGAATATTTAGTAAGTTGACTGTATCAATAAAAGGTATTACATATGCTATAGTGTAATAATATGCATTGATAATTGTAATAATAAAACTATTACCATTTTACCAACATGTCTTTATGACTAAAATAATAGCTTAAGTACGCCTAAATTGTAACTTATAATCAAAATCTTAAAAATATACCCCTATGATGGGTTGAGGTAGGTGTTGATTCAGATAATCAAAAAATGTTAGTAGCACCCCCACACCCTCCCCCTCCTAACGAAAACAACCTTGCGCATGATTGCGCAACATTTACATTGCGTCGTCGTTCAGCCGCTGTGAGCTTCCTCTCAATCCTCGCAATTCCTTCCGCGTTGTCGGTGTCTTCCTCTCGCTCTTGGAGTCTGGACAATGATCGTGGCATATCCAGTACCGGTGTTGCTCGGTCTATGATATCGAACGAGCAGCCGCTTCGTCCAGGCTTAGTGTTGGTAATAACTCCAGACTCTCGAAGCTCCTCCAGGATTTGGCACGAGCTCATGTCCTGCTGTATGGTCGGCAGGCTTCGGTTCATGCCGATCGGTGGAAGGCGGCGGGCTGGAAGGTTTACTGATGGAACGATGTTTGCTAAGAAACAAAATAAATAGATATGAGTTGATAGGAAATGAAAAAACTAAATATAATTATTTAATGTATTGTTAGTATTTACAGCATAATAATCACAATTATAAAATTGAAGAATTTATATTAAAAATATTTTTCTAAGTTTTCATTATAATCATCACGACCATTTCTATTGTAATTTCATCATCAACATTATTTTCTAGTAACTGTACTATTTATATTATTATTATTATATTATTATTATTATTATTATTATTATTATTATTAATACTATTATAAATAATGTTGGTGTAGCTAACAATATGGTTTTCAAAAGCAGTATCCTGTAAATGACATCAAGTTAATACCTGTCAAAGTCTTGTAGTAAGATTTGTAATAGTACTGTATAAGCACTGAACCTAACAAACTAAGCCTATTATTTTCTTACCAGTTGAGTTTTCATCCTTCAATCTCACCAGCTCCTCGTTGACCCTATCGTCATGACTCATCAATGACGCATGGTCAGACAGATTGTCCACAGAGGACGTCTTACACTCTAGTGGAGAGTTTGTTGGAGTGACCTCCTGAAAGAAATGATAGGCCTAATACATTATAGGCCTATGCATACTAATATTATGTAGGTGTGTATGTGTGTGTAAGCGTATGCAGATATATTATGTAGGCCTATGTATCAGGAGATAATTATTTATATAGGTTGGTTAGAGCAGGGAACAGTGAAATTACATTGTTCTCTGGTTTGAGTTTGCTCTTCTGGTTCAATCAAATACATGTCAACACATTACCATATCTCTTGACTTATTTGTAAAATTTAAAACCATATCATTATATTTCATTCACCGGTACGTCTTAATTTGCCTGTGTACCGTATCGATCTAGTTATAAATATAATAACATAGGCTACACATTATATTGGAAAAATGAAAAGGAAAAAGAAAAGGAAAGAGGAAAACGAAAAATGAAGAAAATTAATAAAAGGAGAAAACCAATCTTTGGTGTAATACGTCAGATGTCTTTGCTCACTTTCGCTTTTCTTTTTCTTAAATTTTGAGCTTTTAGATGTTCAATCTATTTACATTGTATTATTATATTGCATGTCCCCTATTTTATTATGTATTTAACTGTATGTCTATCCTTTCGTTTGACTAAAAGTGTGACGGAAATAAAGAATAAACTAAATTATATACATTATATAAACTCAGAGTGTGTCAGAGAGAAAACTGAACAGACGATAATATGTGCAGGCCTACATCATTAGTTTGTTGTTGTTTTCTTTATAAATTATTTACTTACAGTGATTTAAATACAAATATTACTAACTTTTTTACTATCTAACTCTAGGGCCGAATGCCTATAGTAGGCATTCGGCTATACGAGAAATAGAATATGTACACAAATCTACAAATGCTTTCCACATATATTTGGCTAGTCTTATTTTGTTTGAGGGTGTGTGAAAGTGTGCACCTAGCACATACCATTGACGCATTTTTATACACTACGCGCGCATCCATGTTTCGATAGGCCTGGCAATGTAAGCGTAGGTAGAACCTGACTTTGTTGCTACGCTTATGCTAGGCCCCAAGTGTGCGCACACAATACTAGAACGATTTGCGCGTATAGAACTTAATAATACACAGTACCGCGCCCACCTACCTCTTCTAGGAGGACACCGACTTTGTTAGATTTTCTCCAGAAGGCTAGTCGGAGGAATCGGTTGATCTTTTTATGTTCTTTAACCTGCTTTTTGGAAATAGAGATTTGGTTGTCTTCTGTGACGGGTTCGACCTTATTCTTGGACAGGCACCTCCCCATGATGGAATATTAATCGGCTTTTGAGCAGTTAATATTCACAAGGCATTCAATCTTATCCTCGCAGTTGAAAGGCAAGAGTAAAATGTTTACTTAGCAACGCGCCCTTCGTTGATACGCATTGGATTACGCACACGTAGACGCATGCGCAACACATGCGATTGCTTGAGTCAAAACGTTACGCAAATTCGACAAAATAAAAAGAAAATTCTAGAAATTCTTCAATTGTTTTTATGACAATTTTTTGTATAACATGCGCCCTCTATATAAATCTAGTAAGAAACCATTGGCCCTCATTTTCTTTATATATTTATAATTAGAATTCTTATCGAACTAAGTTTACTCAATTTAATTGGCAACTCCTTCTTATGACAATTTAAAAAAAAAGAACTTCATATTTTTTTTTCTCTATAGAATTAAAATTATGGAAAAAAGACATGCCGCCAGGATTAGTGAAACACTGTTATGATACTCTTCAATGGGAACACCAATAACACCACGATGGGGCAGAGTCGACGGCAATTGATTTCCCAACCGGAAAAGGCCTTTCAAAATGTAACGCATTATCACAATTTAGTGTCAGGCAAATATCGGCCATGGAAATAAGAGACAACATGGGACTCAATCGAGGTCTTTTGAATTTGACAAAGGTAAGTTCATTTTTGTGTAAATTATTGTAATCTTAAACCACAAAAAAAAACAACCTTAAAACTACAATTTTAATTGTTTATTTCAATTAAAAGTTATACATAAAAAAAAGTTTTTATGAATAATAATAATAATTGCTAAAAATATACCAACAGGTCCTAAAGACGTATACATTCTACTCTATATACACCATAGACAATTTTTAGGATTTACAGCTCAATATAACAAACACATTTTTTTTTCAGCTTACATTTATACCCTATTAATTAGCCTCCCCAAGAGCGATTTCCAGGAGAGGGTATTGTTTTTAGCTTGATTTATTATCACGGTAGTAGAGGTGGCGGTGGTGACCAACACCATCACCTATGGCGGTGGTGATCCTGTTGTCAGAGACTTTGCTACCATAATAACTGAAATTCTGCAAGTCCTATTATTTGATTTCGGTTACTCTGTGAATATGTTAATAACTTTTTTACGTAATTAATATTCAAGAAACCTGAAGATAACACTAGAAATTATTGAAATTAACATAAAATATTCCCAATGTACGTCATATTTTGATATGTGATGTATTTACAATTGTTTATACCATTGGATTTTTTTTAAATATTTTAATATAATTAATAGTCATACCGTAATTGTATTTTTTAGGTTTAAAAATTCTCTGACAATTTCGTGATTTCGAGATTTGATGCTGAGATAATAATAATGATAATATAAACTTGGTTACATGAGGTAAAAGCAACACGGTTTTAATTGATATAACTGATATTAGAGATAATATGGTAATAATAATGTAATAATGATACAATAAATTAATAATAATTTAATTGTACAGTACAGTAGGAATAATAATTGCACAATAATAGTAATGTTAGTAGTATTATAATATAAATAATAATAATACAATAGTAAAAGTAATCAATACATTTATAATAAAATAGGCTAATAATAATAACAAAATAATATTAATATTACTATAACATAATTAAAATAAAAAAATAATATGATTATTATTACTAAAGGGGAAGGCTGAGTACTTTTACTGCATAGCGTAAAAGGAGTGAATCTAAATAAGCAATTATTAATTTCATGCTGAAATCCAAATTAACTGAGGAAAATAAACCAAAAAATAACCTATCACATTAATATTATTTCTCTGTTAATTTTAGAAATGTGACAAAGATATGATGCTGGCAGATGTCATCATCTTCTTCTAGGAAGCCGGAGAAATACAAAATCTAAATATGATTGCAGATGAAAGTTGAGTAATCACGATGCGATACAGTTATTCAGAAGAGCAGATTATGTTCATGTTTTGTTTTATCGATTTAAAATAATCAGTTTTAAATGGTTTAATATTTGAAATCAATTGTTAAACATTAACTTGCCTAGTTAACGTTTACATATAAGTAGCAATGTTGCCCTGATGTTTCTATTCTATTGTCTGAAACTTGTGTTATATCATTATTAAGCGTAAAAAATTAGACTAAAATGGGAATGATTAGACAATAAATACTGATACATTCATTCAGGATATTTTATCGGATATTTATCTAGATTCAATACAGACAACAGTTTAAGTTACGGCCTTCATCATTCTGTAAGCTCTCTAGGTGCTTATACTATGTATGGTACCTACTAGGACGGTTCTTGAACTCGACAAAGGACATGAACATAGCACAGTTCTTTTTCATTCGTGATCATAAATACCATCAATAAAACTATAAAGAATACACTGATGTAAATAGTACAGTTCTTTATTTTTCTTTTTAGGCAAAAGTCACCCTATTATTGTAAGCCATGGTGCAATGGAAGCCAAACCCCTATAGGCCTACAGGAGAAATTATAAAGGCAAATACAAAAGACGTGTTACTTAAAAACATAGTTGAAGAATACAGCACTGGCGGACATCTTGTGTGGTGAATTGCATCGGATGGAATGGTAATGAATTTCTTTTTACTTTATGTAGATAGTAGCAAGGTTAAATGGAAGGTTACTCAAGTGTTTCATTGATACCGATTGTGTTTTATTTCATTTAATGTATTGTTTATTTTGTGTTACAGTAGGCAAATTAAAATAAATTCTTAGTTTCATGTTATTGTCCTCATCGATTTTGAAGCCTCATAGTATACTGTATTACTACTTCTATTTCTTTAAATCATTAAGTTATCTATAGAAATACAAATTGGATCTAAAATAATATCGTTTATGATGATAAATATGATAAAAAATATTGTAAAATTCAAATATCTATTTGATTGTTCTTAATTATTTATTAAGTGCCTTTAATACAATTGGACCGTAATGATTCACAATGGAACATTAAATAATAATTTAAAAAAAAAAGTGGTATTTCAAGTGGTTTTTCCCCTATTAGTTTTTGAATTTGCTTTTTTATAATATATTTCTAAAAAATGCAGCAGTCAAACCGATCATTATGCAGCAAGTAATTGCATAATCGTGGACGATTCAATTGTTGAAGCAGAAGTAAGGCTAAAGCTTCTTCGAATAAAAGAAGAGTTAGCACAATAAATGGAAGATGAGATGGACGAAAGAGGATTGAATGCTTCATTTGACGATGACTAATTCGAGGAATCACACTGTAAGTAGGTTGTTATTATTATTATTATTATTATTATTATTATTATTATTATTATTATTATTATTATTATTATTATTATTATTACAGTATTATTATATTTATTGTTAGAATGATAATACTAGTAACAATAATAATAATAATCATAATAATAATAATAATATTAATAATAATAATAATAATAATAATAATTATTATTATTATTATTATTATTATTATTATTATTATATTAGTATTATTATGTCAGCCTACTCCACTTAGCCCCATAATAAGGTATAGTTTATAAAACATTAATTGCATAGTTTATATCTATACTGTAATTGGAGAAAAATACATGCAAGTGCACGGATTTGACTTGCCCCTTACCTTGATTTCTGAGCCTTATTTGAGGTGACTTCTATTTAAAAAAGTACTTGCATCAGCAATTCTGGGTTTATCATATACCAGTGGTAGTATGATCTATACATTTTCTCCATGTACATTATTATGACCCCACTATTGTCAATAATAGGCCTACATTTGCATATTATGTTATGTTTTATGTTTTTAAAAAATGGAACTTGAATCTAAATAAATTTGCTTGTACAGTATACTAATATTATTTTGTACATTAGTATATCTTTTTCATAAAGAATTTATTTTACAATGTACAAAAGTAGTAATATATTATTATTACAATTTGTAATTGCAGATGGATATGAAGATTACAACGGAGAGGAAAGTGATGTATGATAGATAAAAACACCGACATAAGGCTTACCCAGAATTCAAATGGATTTCTATTGGGGGTGGGGAGGGGTTAAGAGCTATACTTTGCTCAAAAATTATGTTAAAAAAAAACTTTATCTCGTTTATTGACATCTTGAATTTAGATTCTTAGAAAATAAACCAGTGCAGAAGGAAATTATTCGTAATGTATGTGTATTTAGTGAATGAATTGTATAATTAAATATTCTGATTATAACAATTAAATATGCTTTTGTGAATAATTTTTGACTGTTACTTACTTGTTAGTTAAATATTGACAAACACGTTCGCGTTTCGTAAGTCACAAACTTTATGATGTCTGGTCATGTATTACAGAAATCAAGACACTTCCCTCAAACACACAATTCGCTTTACTTTATGACGGTGATATAAAGCATAAGCGTTATGCCTTTTGATTAGTTTGCTAATATAGGCCATAGCTATTACAGTACAGTGTTATAATCATTGTATTGTAATTTCCAATTCAGATTTTAAATTAAATACCAGAATAAATGTCATCAAAATGCTAATCTGAAGCCTTTTACAACTATTCCTAGTTCTAGGAGGTGAAAACAGCCTTCCTAATGAAACACATGCATTGATTTCAAATGACATTGAGAATTTTTGACCTCTATTATAAAAGCTATGTTAAAAAAAAAAAAAGTATGGGCCTTACGTAATGCTGTGTTAAATGAACCTATTTAATTGTCTGGTAGTAGTACCGTACTACCGTATGTAAAGTAATTAGGTAGTTCATTCATTCACCATTCTATAGTACCGGTACATTTATTTCAAAACTTCATGAACATACATGAAGTAACAATTAAAATGGTTTAAATAGGAATTGGTTTAAAAAGTATTATAGCAAAAACTAAATTGCGATTTATAAACACCTGGTTGGCCATGGCCCTTTTCTGGAGCTCTACTTTCTTCATTGCCAGTTACAATTTGTAATGGTGTATCTATTTTGTTAATTAACTTAATTGCTTAATTCTTTGTTTATAATTTACTTTAATTTAATTGTTATTAATTTACTTGTGGATGTCGCTTCATACACAGAGAGAGCTGATTTGCTATATTCCTTGTGACTTCTTCAGATAGTTCATTTTTTCATTTTCTCATGGTATATTTATTTCAAATCCACAAACATACATGCAGTAACATTAAAACTGGCTTAAATAAGAATTGCAGAATACAATATACTACATAACATTGTAGTAAAAGATAAATAAATAAATAAAATAAATAAATTCCGCTTTATAGTCGCCTGGTTGGTGGCCCCTCTCCTTTGGTCGGGAGTAGTACTTTTAATTGCTAACTTCTGTCTGTAAGTGTAGGCCTATTTCTATGCATTTTTGTTAATTAAGTTAATATTTTGATTCTTTGTTTTTAATTTTTATTGTTCTTTTATAATTTGTATAATGTGGATGTACGACCGTGTGTGTATAATTATATAAAGTTGGAATTTCCTAATAAATACTAAATAATGTATAAACAAGATGAAATAATGCTAAAAATAATTCTAGTATAGCTCTATAATAAAATCAATAATAGTTCGTTCATCAAAGTGTAAACAAAGATCAATCCTATGTAATATGGCATATCGTCTATTTTTCCAAAAATTATGCTTGTTTATATTTATCCTAAATTTTATTTCGATAACAAGAGCAGTTGTATAAATACGACAATTTAACGATTTTCAGTTAATACCGGTAATCCCACAAAGCACGAATATAATAATAATAATACTAATGTCGTTCTTATATAGCGCTTAATGCCTTAACAAAGCCTCTAAGCGCTTTACATTATTACCCCGGTCATATTATTATTTAGCTAATTCTAGTTCATTTGAGCTATAATCGTCAAAATTGATAGAATACAAAGAATAGGAATCCGTACTGAGCATATAAGTATAATATCAACAATAGTAATAAATTAGCTTTTTTTTCTTCTTTATTTTCCTTTTTTACACTTCTCAAAAAAATAAAGGAAGTGTTGTTTTATAAATATTGATATCTATACAATATTTATAATTTTATATATTTTTTTATTATTTCATAAATTTTTTTGGATAAATAAAAATACAGTATAAAATTCCCTCCAAGGATTATCAAATACTAAAGCATTATAGAGGGTTCTCCAAGGCATTGGAAAATTTCCGATAAGGACGCAGATCGATACAATTCAGTCTTCCTTGAATAAGACATTTTTGCTGCAAAAATGTAATGATAATACTGTATTACTTATGCTTTTGTCCATTAGTAGGAAAAATGTAATTTTCAATAAGAAGTAGTAATTAAGTTAAATAATATAAGGTACAGTGATGACATATAAAACATATAAAACCAATGATGGTGATGATGACGATGATGATTGGTAGTGGTGATGCTAATTAAAATGAAGGTAATGATCTGAACAAGATTTTGATGATAGAAAATGATTATGATGATGGTGTATGGTGGTGATGACGTTTTGGATCGTAACGGTAACTTAGATGGTAATAATAATAATAATAATAATAATAATAATAATAATAATAATAATAATAATAATAATAATAATATTAATAATAATAATAACAATAATAAAACAATAATAAAATAATAATAATATTAATAGTAGTAGTAAATTAAATAATAACATATATTTTTATTATTATTATGATTATTATTGTTATTATTATTATTATTATTATGAGAATGCTAATAATTAACGATGTCAATTATTATTTAATGTTCCATCATAAACCTAGATGACCAACACAACGATTTATGGTCATCTGAATGAAATCGTAAAAAACCCATGTTTAACTGTGTTCATGCGCGTGTGTGAAAGAGTATGTTTGCGTGTTAGTGAACTGATGGAGTGGGTGTCCTTCGATTGTGTGATTGTTGCGTTTCAAGTAGCCAACACTTTGAAATAAAAAACAGAATACATATATTTTCATTTGGGTCTTAATCTACTCTTATTCTAATTTTTTTTGGCATTTTTTGTCTTGTAACTTCGTTACTATATCCAAGTTTTTTAATTAAAAAAACTTGTAAAACATTACTTCAGATTATTTTTCTTTGTAATAATGAAACAATTTGTAAACATTATAATTTTTTTTAGATATTATGTCTTGTTTTGTAACTTTGTTACTATATCCAAGTTTTTTAAATGACAAAGCTTGTAAAACATTATAAACATAAACAAGTTTTTAATGATAAAACTTGCAAAACATATAGATTATATATCTATACATAGTTATATATATGTGTATAATTTACATATTTTTTCTGATTATAATAATAAAACATGAGATAATTTTTTTAAATAATGATAGAAATTGTAAATATTAGAATTTTTTTGTAATTTTTTTATGATACAAAATCTAAAATAAAAGCAATATTAAATATTAAAAAGATATTACAGATACAATCTACAGATACAAGTTTCAATTTTTTGTTTTTTGTTTTGTTTTTTTTTTATTGTTTTTTTTTTGTTTTTTTTTTTAGTTTCATAAAACTGATAATGATGACATTTGTAAATCATTATAAAACAAATTTTTTATACGCTAAAACTTGTAAAACGTTATAGATATACATTCTATAAAAAATGTCAAGTTTTCAAATGATGAACTTGCAAACATATAACAAGCTTTTTTACGCCAAAAACTTGTAAAACGTTAAAAAAAAAAGAACAAGTTTTTAAATGATAAACTTGCAAACATATAACAAGTTATAAACTTGTAAAATACAAATATTTTAGATGTTAAATTTACAGATCATATTTTTCTTCATAAGCAAAGAATGAAACGTCAGGATCCATTTCGTAATCCATATCCACCTTTTCACGCAGGATCTCTTCCTTGATTTTCCACTGAACGGCTTGGTGGCGCTTCTGGTTGGCTAATTGAGCAAGGGCGCGTTCATCTTCCTTCTTCTGAAGAACTTTGTCGGCGGCGTTTTGTTTTTGCTGCAAGGTATTGAAAGCGCTGGTCTTCTTCTCATTTTCGATCTTAGAAAGCTTTTCTTTGACATCTCTGCTGTTAAATTTTGCCTGATTTGCCTTTAAAAGAAGCTGGTTCTAGAAAATGAAAAAGCGAAAAATTATTGAAAGATAGAGGCAAGCAAATGTTAGATTGTTGTGTCATGTGAGGTAAATA